CCCTGAATATCGTGACATCTAGATACTCTATTGACTCCTTATGCCAGGATGATGTCAGAGTGACCGGTGTGGGTAATAAATGAATCTCCTCCAATGCAGAGTCCACAAATCGTGGATTTGTCGTCCACAAATCGTGGATTTGTCGTCCACAAATCGTGGATTTGTCGTCCACAAATCGTGGATTTGTCGTCCACAAATCGTGTATATTTGAGAATCTTGTGTTGGTATTTGAACAATATATGTTCCTGTTCAAAACAGAATATATATGCGTTGGCATATGAAGGAGCCATCACCGCCCCCATCGCAGTGCCCGATATTTGAAGTTAAAATGATTCTTCAAATTTAAAATAATTGCATGTAAGTGCAATATTCAAAAACTCCAACAGGTGGACCTTGATAGGGTAGAGTTAAGGTAGAGTTACTGAGCACTTCCGAGACAGATTCTATCCCTTCGTTATGTGGTATAATTGTGTACAGGCTTTGTACATCAAGAGTGACAAACAGAGTCTCTGTGTCGTCCAGGTTGATAGCTTTTATCTGTTTAAGGAAGTCTTGTGCATCTTTGAGACAGGTATGTAATTTCTGTACACTTTTGTTGATATAAAAATCCACGTATTTAGCGATGGGTTCAATCAACCCCTCTCTCGCCGACACGATTGGTCTACCTGGGGGGTTAAGTGAATCCTTGTGTAGTTTCGGGAGAGTGTAAAGAACAGGATGTTTTGGATATTTAACAAAGAGGTTTTTAGCCAGTCACTCATCCAGGTAGCCCGCTGACGTTCCCAGTTCAATCTGATGCATAATTGTCTTCTGAAATTTTTTAACTGGATCAAACGTAATTTTACGGTATACGTTACAGTCATTTAGTTGTTGAAGAATTTCTGCACGATATTTAGAATATGATTGAATTACAATCGCTCCCCCCTTGTCAGCTGGGCGAATAGCAATGGTTGGATCTTGTATCAGATCTTTCAAGGCACTCCTCTTTGGTAAGATTTTGTTTAGGGTGGGAAGGAGTAATGGTGATTTTTAGGACATCATGATGTACGGCTTGTACAAATGACTTGATAGATGGGTTGTTGGTAAAGACATCTTTCTTGTCCCTAGATGTTATAGGTATTTGGGGTTTCTCTACACCGCCTTTCATGACCTCATTGCAGTATAAGGTTCTCTGTAGTTTGTATAATTCGATTTCCATCTCAAACGGAACCGGCTTTTTCATTGGAACGAAGGTTAAACCCTAATTTAAAACTGAATGATGGTATGGTGTCAGGATTTTGGTGGACAGGTTAAACACTACTGTCGCCTCTTTTGCATGGGTGGCTTGTCTCTGAATTTTGTATTTCTGGTGGTTGTTCTTCTGTCCTCTTCGTATCGTTCTGTTTCTCTGGTGTTTATGGCTGAAGAGCCTGATCCCGTAGGGGCCTCGTTGGTATGTTTGTCCTTGTCTAAAAAGTAATCGATTTATATGATGAGCCCTCTGATTTAGAGTCTGCGTCTGAAGTTGATTCTCCTGAACTAATGTATTTGTCTGGAATGAGGGTTTTCGGATCCTTGGCCGGAATGTAGGAGTTGGATATCTTGTGGTTTCTGTGCCACTTAGCCATCGATATACCTGGTGGTGTTGGTAATCGTGATTCACTTTTTCAAGTTTTTGTTTTTTAAATCTTATTAAACCATTTTGATATTTATTAATATGATGTTTGTAGTGGCATGGTATTTGTGATATCAAACTCACAAATTGATTTTTTCACATTAACCAATTCCTTCCCCACCTCTTCCACGACAATCACCATCCAATCCAACGAACATTTATTTGCAATATTCATCCACCTTTTACAAAATTCTGGATTTTGGCGTCCTATGGTGGAGGCATTCCTGACTCGGAATACTCGAGGTATGCGTTTAGCCCGATAGTAAAATCGGAAATAAAAATGCCGTGGAGGTCCAGGTCAACTTCTCTTTTTTTGAGTTTAATGAGATCATTGTATAGATCTTTAGCTGTATTAGTGTGGGTTAACTCCTGTGTGGTACGGGGCCATAGTACTGCCTCTGCTTGTTCTTCAGAAATAGACAATGTAACTGCTGTTTCTTCAAGCGCTCCAGCTCTAGCCAAAAAATCCTCCATAAAAAATTATCTTGAGGGGGGTGAGTGAACTCACTGTTTAGTAAATGCACCAAAAATATAAAGTAAGGTTGGAGGTGCACAAACTAGGAATATCGCGATCCCTGTATATACAATTCAAAAAATGAGTTTGGCACACTACCTAAATAAAGTTTATATAGGATACACACACCAGGGTGCAAACCAGCTATATGAATATAGAAAAATAGCAAGGTGCACTCCTGGATTTGAAAAATACTTGATTTGTGCAAAAAAAAAAACTTTACGTTCAGTGGATCGACGTTTCGACCAATACACGGTCTTTTTCAAGATCAGAACGATGCATACAGTGAAAACAATACTTTTATAAGTAATAAAGATTAATCAATTACCAAAATCTGTGAAGTGCACCTCCCCCACCTATCGAAACCCGGAAGTGTGATAAGACTGCGAGTGACGTCATCATGACATGTCTTGCGGTGTTTACAGCAATTGCTAAGCAACCTAAGTGTAAACCAGTGTAAAGGTGCTGGGCGATATAGCCTGATATCGGCTATACTTAAAACGGAGGATTATGAAAAAGATGGGGTAGGGAAAGGAGCGGTTATAGATCCCTGTGATCAAACGTGACACATCTGTAACAATAAAGTGAGAAAAAAATAATTATATATATATATATATATATATATATATATATATATACACACACACACACACACACAATTATTTTCATATTTATTTTTTATAATATATATATATAATTATATATAGATAGATATATATACACACTTTTACTGTAATTTTACTCTAAGTGTATTTTTATATTAAAGGAACACTATAGTCACCTAAATTACTTAAGCTAAATAAAGCAGTTTTAGTGTATAGATCATTCCCCTGCAATTTCACTGCTCAATTCACTGTCATTTAGGAGTTAAATCACTTTTTTTCTGTTTATGAAGCCCTAGCCACACCTCCCCTGGCTATGATTGACAGAGCCTGCATGAAAACAAAAAACTGATTTCACTTTCAAACAGATATAAATTTACCTTAAATAATTGTATCTCAATCTCTAAATTGAACTTTAATCACATACAGGAGGCTCTTGCAGGGTCTTGTAAGCTATTAACAGAGCAGGGGATAAGAAAATCTTAATTAAACAGAACTTGCAATAAAGAAAGCCTAAATAGGGCTCTCTTTACAGGAAGTGTTTATGGGAGGCCGTGCAAGTCACATGTAGGGAGGTGTGACTAGGGTTCATAAACAAAGGGATTTAACTCCTAAATGGCAGAGGATTGAGCAGTGAGGCTGCAGGGGCATGTTCTATACACCAAAACTGCTTCATTAAGCTAAAGTTGTTCAGTTGACTATAGTGTCCCTTTAATAAAAAATAAAAAAATACACTCAGTATGACGTGTTTTATATATATATATATATATATATATATATATATATATATATATATATATATATATAGATTATAATATATATACACACACACACACACACACACACACTTTTACTCTAAATGTATTTTTATATTAAATAAAAAAAATGCACTCGGTATGACGTATATATTTATATTATTTATTACTTTTATTTGCAGGTAGAACTGTGGACACCTATTGTGGCCATGTAACCGCTCTTTTAGAATGGTCACATGGGCGCTAGGGGTCCTAGAGTGCAGAGGGGGACTGGTAAGTACATGGGGAGGGAGGGTAGAGGGTTAATTTTTTTTACATTTTTTACATTTACTGAGTGCCTCGACCCTTCGATGCACTCAGTACAGGCAGAGCATCAGAATATTTTTACTATGTTTTGTTATGTGGGCCAACCCAACCAAGGTGGAAGGGACAGAAAAGGGCAGGACACATGAGGGGTTCACAAGCACCGGGGGACTACAGTAGCTGTAATAGAGATAGTCCGGGAGTAACACATTCCCTAGAGTGTTAACGGATGGGACGGGGAGGGATGAGGGAAGGCAGGTGATATGGAACAGGGTTAGGGGTGAAAAGGTTAAAAAATGATGCAATGTGTATTGGACATGTACCGCACCTTCCCATCATACAGAACCTAGACGGAGAACACCCACCACCTAATCACACAAATTAGTGGCCAACCCCATACTGTGAACACCAGACTTAAAGGAAGCACAGAGCATCAGCGCCACCAGAAAGACAGCAAAGAAACAGCAGCCCAGTTGTCCCCAGCCCGAGATACCGGACACATCCCGCCGGGCACAGCGCACACGCCCCCGCAAACGACCCGCCACAACAAACTACCAAACACAACAGCACTGCCCCCCCACCCCATATGCACATAGATCAGAAGACGGCAAATTGAACCATGAGAGGACCGCTGACTCTCCAACACGAGAGATAGGCCCAACACACCTTACAATGCAAAACTCCCCGAGCACAGCCCGCAACCACCTGTGTCGTGACCTCACAGATTGCAACTAGATGAAACATAGCTACCATGACTAGTTTCGACTTACGTGGGACACATACTAGACCATATAAATACAAAACCATACAGTTGCGCTCTAGCAGGCAAATGAAACGACAGCCGCAGACTTACCCCCCAGACCGGACCTGTATATACCTAAACTACTGGGGGAGACAGACCCGCGGCTTCCCCCGTTCACACTTGGGGACGGTGCGGACCTCAACCCAGTTACATAGGTCACCCTCACATTGAGGGACCTACCACTTGAGGTCACTCGCTGAGAGACCAGACTTTCGGTTAACTTGCGGACCCGCCTTGCACCAGGTTTGAGAAACTACCTTCGGACCATAGATCCTAAACACTTAGGTGAGACCAACCGGTACGTCACACAGCACAGCTGACACTAGACGCCTATTGGTTGAACTCACAGATAACAATTCCTCCTTAGATGATCACACACACACACACTCCTCTTCCTTCACACCGCCCTTCCCCTTTTACCTCTCTCCTCCTTACTTTCTCTACCTCCCTCTCCTTGCCCGACTCCGAGGTGTACGCGGGCACACGGAGGAACGACACGTGTAACACTGAACACACACTGATCCCGCACAACCACTCACACCACCACGGCATATACAACTGCACCCTTCTGCATCATAACGCAGAACTGCAGAGGAATGAACACCCCCGAAAAGCGCACACATCTCCTGCGGGAACTTTAACGCGGTCATCTATCTATTGCAATACTACAAGAAACGCACCTGAGAGCAACAGAAACACATCAACTAAAAGATAGATACTACCCGATCAACCACCATAGCATCCATCCTAATGCACACAAGTCAGGGGTGGCAATTGTCTTAGCTACCAACCTCCAATTTACCCTGAACGAAACGCTTGCAGACCCGAATGGCAGATACATTTTCGTGAAAGACACAGTGACGCAGAAGACTTACACATTCGCCTCAATCTATGCACCAAATGCCAAATAGGCAAAATTCCTCCGCAACACAATTTAAAAACTTGCCACCTTTGCAGAAGGAAGTCTTATACTCAGAGGAGATCTCAATGTACCCCTAGACCCGATCTCAGACTCATCGACTGGACACAGCAGCATCCCACAAGCGGCAATTAGGACGATACGGAGGTCCCTACGTGACCTCAGACTGGTCGATGCGTGGAGGACCCTGCACACAGACAATCAAGACTACACGCACTACTCGGCCTACACCACAGATACTCGCGCATTGATTACCTTTTCATCCAGCAAGAAGGCTTACAAAGACTCCGTAAAGCGGAGATACGTCCAACACCATGATCAGACCACAGCGCGGTTTCCATACTCCCAGACAACATGGAGATTGAACGAGTCGCTTCTCTCAGATGTAGGAGTGCAGACACAGCTGGTGGAACACTTGGAACAACTATTTCAAAGAAAACGACACGGAAGACACATCCAACGTGACGCTCTGGGAAGCCCATAAGAGTGTACTTCGTGGACACCTCAAATGGATCGCATCTTATAAAAAGAAGGAAGCACAGCAAAACATGATGGCACTTACTGAACAAATTGCAACACTGGAAAAGCTCCACAAACGAACACACACTATCGCACCCTACTAGCAGCCAGACGGCAACTGATGGAACTAATAGCCCACAAACACTACAGGGCAACCCAGCGATCAAAAGCCTTCTTCTACATCCATGCTAATAAGGGGGGGAAACTACTAGACCACATGATTCGAAGCCAACAGGCCAGAGCACAAGTCTACGCATTACAAACATCGAAAGGTACCCTCACACAATTCCCAGAGGAGATCGCGAGCGAATTCCAAACGTACTTTGAGCGCCAGTACAACATAACCATCTAAACACCAGTCATGAGTGAAGATAGGATAGTAGAGGCCACAACACACTCCCTTAAAAGCTTCCGGCCTGATACACTCACACCGGAAGAAGCCAACATCTTTGACAATCCGATAACTACGGAAGAAGTCCAAGCGGCAATCAGGACCAGACGGTCTACCGGCGGAATACTAAATTGTTTGGAGAAATCTTGACCCCGCGCCTAACGGACGCCTTAAATCACCTGCAGCAAGGGGCAGGTTCCACTGGGAAACTCTAGCGGCCACAATCACGGTGATACCCAAACCCGGCAAGAACCCAGAAATCTGTGGCAATTACCGCCCTATATCCCTCTTAAACACTGAGGTGAAGCTCCTCTCTAAAATCTTAGCCACTAGACTACAACAATTTATACCACGATTGGTCCTCCTGGATTTATACCAGGCCGGGAGGCTAGAGACTGCACCCTGCAGGCATTTGCTATACGGGGACTAGCAATCAAAGAAAAATCGGACCTACTCATGCTTTCCACGGACGTAGAAAATACTTTTGACTGGGTAGCGTGGAATTTCATGTTGGCAACGCTGAACAGGGTGGGCCTGGGATTACCTACCGCACTCTATACTGACCCATGTGCCAGAGTCCGGATAAACGGAGCAATCCCTGACAGCTTCACTATTCACAATGGCACTAGACAGAGCTGCCCATTGTCCCCTCTCCTCTTTGCCCTCACATTGGAACCATTCCTGGATAGGATCCCACTGAAGCTGGAGATACGGGGGTTTCGACATAAAAAACAGGAACATAAAGTGGCTGCGTATTAAGATGACATGCTCTTTTTCATAGCCAGTCCCCTAAGCTCACTACCAGCCCTTCTGGAAGAATTTGAAACATACGGTCAGATATCAGGACTTAAGCTAAACCAGGCAAAGTGTGAAATATTGACACCACGACCATGCAAGAACGAATCCAGAGCAGATACCCCATTGACTGGTGCACGGAACAGATGCGCTACCTAATAATCTGTATACCTCACAACCTGAGAGAACTATATGTCAAGAACTACACACCCATCCTACACACCATACAGATTGACCTGAAGACGTGGACCTATGACCACATATCGTGGCAAGGGCGCATAGTGGTGGTCAAAATGAACATCCTACCCAGACTTCTCTACTGCTTCAGCCCCATTCCCTGGCACATACCCCCGGAATTCTTCACAACACTCAAAACAGCGGTGACTAAATATGTCTGGAGAGGAGAGAGGGCACGACTCAGCTACAACAGGATATGCCTTCCCCAAAGCGTGGGGCGGACTAGCACTGTTGGACTTCCGCAAATACTTCCAAGCAACGGTGCTCCAGCGGATCCGAGAATGGCACACAGCCCCACCAAACAAATTGTGGGCGAGCTTAGACAGAGAATGCACGTACAAAGCCCTTCGCACATATGTCTGGCAAAGATCGGCAGAAGCCACATATACCCTGGGTAGGGATTCCCCCATCACACAGACGCTGAAAACCTGGACTATCCTGAGAAGGAACCCACACATATCCCCACAGCCGAGTCCCCTGATCCCGTTGACACACAACAAGGCACTGGGCGGGGGGCTGCAGTCGTCCTCATGGCCAGTAGACTACATCCCACTGAGCACGGTCCTGACTAATGCTGGTCTGAGGAGTCTACGAGAATGGTCCACCACAGAACACCTAACGATGATGCACCGATTCCATTACGCACAACTGAGGCACTTCTACCATAACATGGTTTGAACACTTCTGCGTGACTGACACCGAGGCAGAAGGTAGAGTATCGGTCATCTACCAACAACTGATCACGGGAGACCACACCAGGAAAAACACCTTTAAAAGGCAATGGGAGGAACTGACGGACAGGACTTTCACAGAAGCCAATGGGAACAGATACTCGTACTGCAACATAAAAATTCAACAAGCACCAGATACCAAGAAGTCAACTTTAAGCTAATCTCCCACTGGTACAAAACGTCATCGCTACTGCACAGAATATTCCCAGAGGTCCCAGACACATGCTGAAGATGCAAATCCCACACAGACACGCTATGCCACATTTGGTGGGACTGTGCCAAGATCAGACCATACTGGGAAGAGATGAAACTGGAAATGGCAACAATCCTAGGAGAATTACCCAACTTCACCATGGAAACTGTACTCCTGCACTTCTCTGGAGGATCGGTAGCTCAGTACAAACGATCAATACTGCGAGACCTGCTCAACGCAGCCAAAGCACTGATTCCGGCTAGATGGAAACAGACCCAACCCCCCACCAAAGCGTAATGGCTCCAGAGAGTAGAAGAGATCCACACAGTGGAGGCGAGATATGCAGACATGCTAGGGAGAAGCGAAAAACATGCTGAACTTTGGAGACCATGGTATACATACATGTATACCATGACGCATGAAAGTGCGTAACAGGGAACCTAGAAAACGGGGTGCCCACGCGCACCTCACCATCTTTCCCCCCTTTCTTCTGCAAATACTGGAAGATACACCATACTCATGCCACACCACAACCTATTCCCATCTGTCCCACCTCCTTCCTCCACCCCATCCTAACCTCACCACATCGACACACTAAGGGAGCCAAATCCAGTAACATGGAATCTGAATGGGGCAGGCGGTGCCGGGAGGAGCCGAGAACCACCCCGCGTAAACAAGGAGCAACATAATGCTGACACACTGAAAAAACACACATTTATACAGAATTGGAGAAACACGAATAAACACGTAGACTAGAGAGTTGACTTTAAGACACTGTCCATATGTAGACTGACAGGAAACTATGCGATTAAATTACACCTGAAGACAAAAAGGAGTAACGTCCACACCTGGAATGTGGAAGATACACACATGATAAGACGCCTATCACTAGACGAGAGATGGGAAAGCAAGCCTGACAACGACATAGCCGGAAGCATAACATAGGCTCGTTTAAGGCAAATAGATACAAACATAGCATATAAAAGAAGGAATCCCAGAAGACACTCAGCCTGAACCCTAGTGAGGAGACACTGATCACACACGGAACTGCACAAAAATAATTGCAAACAACCACCTGATGGTTTACATCCCCAAGGTTACCCTACTAGTTACTCGCAACACAAAAGTCAAACATGAAAGGATGAGAGATGTTAAGCACTATATAGTACCAATATAGTGACAGAAGCAGTAGAGGCTTTATGCCAGGACAAGGTTCTGGACCTTTAGTTCACAAATAAGAAAGATGAATACATGCTATCTACATTACACAACGAACATATAGTACCAATATCTGTGAGACATTGAACTGAGCAGCTGGAAAATCCTAAGTGCATTGTAAACTACCGTAAGTATATTGGGAGAGTAGACTTGGCTGATCAATGTATACAGCGTTATCTGGTGAACCAAAAAGTAGGAGCCGGTACAAGAAAATTGCAATCAATCTATTTAAACCAGATTACGATTTTCAATTCCAATGTGCTGTATAAAAAAAAAAAAAGCAGCCATAGGTAAGCTATAACCAATTTCATTAATTTAAGTTAAAACTTTTGTCCGATTAATTTATTTATCCAGTACCCGAATCATCCTTCTTTGGAATGATAAGCTATTTAGAATCCCAATCCCCCACGCCCTCTAAAAAGTCTCATGTTTGCTTCAAGTAAGGTATCAAAAAGGACTCCAGTTGTTACTGCCTATCTCTACCTTCACTCTACTACAGACTGTTTCAGAGTCTACCATATTTAGCTGGACTACTGAATCACTCTGTGTGGAACTCGGTCAGTGTGTTTGTTTTTCTGGATTTCTGACCTCAGCTTGTACTCTTTGTTAGCTGCCTGTACAGACTTATTACCTTGTTTTACCAACTACTTTGACCCCTGCGTTCCACTCATGTTAAGCCAAGCCATTATAAAGTGTGAACTCAAAATACTACATTTAGAATACTTGTTAAAATGGTATGCCATGTTCTCTCAAAGGCAGCATAGGTGTACAAAATCACATTGTCAATTTTAAAAAGGACTACATAGTACGACGCTGGAGCGCGAGATCCGGGAGAGGGAGTCAAACTGAACCACGTTACTGACTGATGCAAGCAGACGAGTAGGCGATCAGATGACAGAGCGAGCTTCACGAAAAATGGTGGAGGCAGACGGATTGGAAGAGAGAGCCTTCCAGATTTACAGGCAGGACTGTGGCAAGGAGATTAAACCCATTGAAAGCCAGGGAACTTGGCTGCATTTGTGGCAGAGATAGCCGGAGCTGAGGGGGAATCGAGCTGATCTCAAACCAGTGCCTTGAGTCTACAAGTCATCTTTTGTTTGATTTCCTATATAGTGACTTTTTATTAAACAGTCTGTTGTAGCTACGTTGTACATGCAATGGGCAAAGAGTACGGGAAATTATCTGCAGTCCATCTGCTAATTTTGCCGTAAAGGTCAAAGAAGGAGAAATAGAGAGGAGGTCACAGTGCAAGATAAAAAATGGAAGTTAAACAACCTCCTTAAAGAAACAGACTTTAGATTCCAATCATATTCATTAGGACTGAATATAGTATCAACCTCTGGGGGTTTTCAAAACCGTGTCTTACATCTTATAGATTGAATAACTAACTGGCAAGCTACAATCACGAACAACACTACCAGTCGCTTATTAATTCAATTAGACTGGAGAAGATAATTAAAGGGAAACGCCCTGAAAGTCAAATAGTGGAAAAGAATTGATTTCTCATACTATTAAAGCCAGGCAAGGCTGAGCAATGTGAATGGAAAACTCATATTTATCTATAAACCATAAATATTAGATTAAGTCCAAATCAAAATTCAATATCATGTATAATACAGGGGGGAAAAGAAGAGGGGGGGGGGAAAGGAGCGATTGGAAGGCAATATAAGGAAGATCGGATTAACGGGAAAAAAAGGAGTAGAAATAAAAGAGAAGGAAACAAAACAAACAAAACAAAAAAAAAGAAAATAACCCCAAAAAATGAAAGGTAAGAAGGAAAAAAAAGGGGGGAGGGGGAGTAAGGCACAAATTAAAGCGGCACTGTCATGCCGAACTTACCTTTCCTCAATTTCTTCCTCTTCTCCCCCTCTCTCAGGATCTGTTCTTCTTTTCTTCCTGTCTTCTTTAGTTTTCTTTAAATTCATAAGACAAAGTAGGGACTCTTTGCCTTATGGAGGTTTCCTCCGCTTGACCAGCTCTGACCAGTGGAGGAGCAAAGTGTGCTTCATTTCCGCTGGTCAGAACAATCTTCCCATAATTCTTACCTTTCCTCTGTGTTCCCACGATGCTTCCTGTCATTTTAGACGAAACTGACGAATTGCGTTCTAATTGAATGAGAACAGTATGTTCGTTTGTTTTAGAACTCAATTCGGCACTTTGTTCTTATCGGAATTTCATTCGAATGAATGAAACTCCGATCCTATTCGTGCTGTGGCTGCATCTTGCAGCCGCTTAGTAGATAACTCCCTAATTCCCACGGTATCAGGGAGTTATCTACTAAAATGCTGAAAGACCTAAATTGGTCTTTCAGCCACATTTACTAATACTAAGTAAAAATTACTTAGTATTAGTAAATGATGCCCTTACTCGCTATACCGTGAGTAGGGGCATGTCTAATAAACAGTGAGCAGCCTGTGGCTGCTCACTGTAAAAAATAAAAAAATAAAAACCTATTGTAAAATAAGGGGGGAGACCTATTGTCCCCCCCCCTGGCCCCCACCCCTGCGCGGTGTGTGGGGCCATAATGATAATGGGGGGGGGACCAACTGTCCTCCTCACCCCTACCCATGGGCGGTGGGTGGGGGCCATAATGATAATGAGGGGGGGGGAACCTACTGTCCTCGCCCCCACCCCTGGGCGGCAGGTGGGGGCCATAATGATAATGAGGGGGGGTACCTACTGTCTTCCATCCCACCCTCGGCCCCATCCCTCCTCCCCTGACCCCCACCCCTGGGCGGCAGGTGGGGGCCAGAAAGATAATGAGGTGGGGGAACCTACTGTCCTCCCCCCGCCCCGTCCCCTGGACGGCGGGTGGGGGCCCTAAGTCAAATTCCCCTCCCCCCCCATCAAAAGTGACTAGGGGTCCCCAAGCCCCTAGTCACCCAACCCCCCCAAATAAAAAGTCCCCTACCTACCCCCTCACCCTAAAAAATATTGAGGGGGGGAATAAAATTACTAACCTGTAAAGTAAAATTAAACTTACCATTCGACGTCTTCTTTTTTCTAAAATCTTCATTTTTCAGCCCCAAAAAAGGCCAAATAAAAAAACCATCATACCCGTCGAACTTAAAATAAAATAAAAAACCCGAGCACAAAAAAAAAAAAGACGAAAAAGAAAAAACCAGAGCGCAAAAAAAAATCCCTCTTCTCATGGATGGCTCCGCGCAGACTGAGCGCTGCGGGGCGGGGGAAGGCTTATAAAGCCAATCAGAGTGCTCTTTGTCATTTTACACAGCGTGGGAAAATTCCAAAGAACTTTCCCACGCTGTGTAAAATTACACAGAGCATTGTGATTGGATGGATTTCAAGCCATGCAATCACAGTACTCTGTGTCATTTTACACAACGTGGGAAAGTTCAAAAGAATTATGTATGTTGAATAGTTTGTTGCTATTGTTTTGATATACAGAAAGGAAGTATAGAGGGCGAACAACATTACAGAACTAGGTAGTCAAGATTTAGCATTTTAATCGTACTTTACTCCTACCCCAGAGTGGTCCCGAGTGTGGTGTGGTGGAAACCTCTGCAACACATGCTAGGATTTTGAAACAATACATTTTAAATAAATTAATACTGGTATAATAGTTTTAAAACATTATTTAACAAGGAAAGGATCAGATACCACACAATCTCGCCATTTGTGCCCACAGAATCAGGGCACTCTGGTGGGTCAAGATGGCTATCCTTCCCTTGATAAAACCGAACAGCTCATGTATAGCCAGCTGTGGATTCACATTATTTATAAAATTTTACGCTATATTGTGACTGCGTCGATGGAATATATTGTTTTTAACCCCATCCCGACCTCTGATGTACCAGGTATGTCCGACAAAAAATGGTCGTTAACAACGTGTGGACTTACCTGGAATCCCAGGTAGTCCCCCTGCGGCTGATCTGGCCCCTCCGGGCCATGTTATTGCGGGGTCCTCGGGATCACATGGTAGGAATAGCCGGCTTGTGCAGTGCCTGCAGGGGGAGTGCCTGAGCTCTCAGGCTGTCCTCCTCATGCCTGTAAAAACTTTGTTAAAGTTTATTAAAGTTAATAAACAGTTTTAAAATTATATTAAAAGTACTTAGATCATATATATATATATATATATATATTAATATTATACAAGTACTTTTATATACACACACACACACACACATCATTAAGCGTGTATTTTAATATTAATTTATATAATTATATATAAAATAAATTTGTTTATAAAATTTAATTTAAAAAAAATAAAATTATACACCGGTTTAAATATGTTCTAACTGTATTTTTAAAATACATATATAGTTAAATCAAAATACTTTTAGAATGACGTTATAAATACATATCTCCCTCAGCGATGGGGACTCTCCTCCTCCTTCCAACGTTATTGGCTGAATGCGCATGCGCGGCAAGAGCTGCGAGCGCATTCAGTCCATAGGAAAGCATTCTCAATGCTTCCCTATGGACGCTGACGTCTTCTCACTGTGAAAATCACAGTGAGAAGTGCAGGGGCGCCTCTAGCGGCTGTCAATGAAACAGCCACTAGAGGCTGGATTAACCCATATGTAAACATAGCAGTTTCAGAGAAACTGCTATGTTTACAGCTGCACCCAGATCACTTCATTGAGCTGAAGTGGTCTGGGTGCCTGTAGTGGTCCTTTAATGACCGTGGACGTACTAGGTACTTCCGACAAAAAGGAGCCCTGGACTTACCTGGGTCGGCGATCTGGGTCAGCGGGGGGGGGAATGACTATCTTCACACCAGAAAACCGCAAGGTTCGAAATGGGTGGCCGCCGTTCATATGACCGAACACGTGATGGCGGCCATCTTTGCTCACGAACATACATCGGTGTTTGGTCGTCGAGTGCGTGGAACTATAATTGGACTCTCGACCATGCGAACACGGCTGAACTTCCATCCTGTTCGTACGTTCATTTCCTTTCGTCTATATAGAGCGGCATTCAACTGAATGGAATGAATGAACACAAGGCACAAGACTACCTATTTCATTAACATTTGCATTCGTTAGTTTAACACTAAAAACTCCTGAAAGAAGACCGGTCAAAGCATACAACCACATGGAACTGTTTTTGGGCTTCACCTCAAGGTTGACCGGTCTAAAGTTCCCTCGAATGACGTTCCTATTCTACCAAACTGATCTGAGCGGTATTTCAACAGATTAGGCACTCAGGAGTTATGATGGTTTGAAATATTGTTTCATTTTCTGTACTCAGGAGTACGGACTTATTGGTAGGCCTGTAAATAAAGTGGGGTAAAGGAAGTGTGCCAAAATGTATTCACTCAACAAACACCAACATTATCACAACATAGAAGATATGTAATAACCTACAAGCACCCGCATTAAAATTGTAACATATTTGAGATTTCCAAAGGAACAAAATTAGTCTGCCAAGCTTATCTTTTATGACTTTCTCAGACCTGGATGGTAAACCAGGGGGTTGTTGGCCCGAAACAGAGGCGTCACTAGGACAAAGACTTGTTGCGTGGGAGGTTGAAGAACACAAAGCACAGGCTGATGTCCTCAGTCTGGCGAAATGCCTACAGAACAACGTTGTGTCCAGTTTACACATTAAACTCTTTTTTTGTTTGTTTGTTTTTTTTAACTGGGCCAAAGTTGCCGCTGCTTTGGCCGAGAATGACCTACGATGATCATAAAAGGCGTATCCGCCGTATTTGTGCCCGGTCCACCAGCTTATGCATATAAGTGTCAAATTCTTCTCTCCTATGTGGCAAATTAGTACACACCACACCTCTATAGATCCCAAATGCCAGTACATATTTCAGGAATTCACGTCCTTACCTTCCAGAATATCTTTGTGGATCTAAAGAGGTACCATATGGGATCGTGTTATCATGAGAGTGTCAATTGGGGATATGGGGACTGCTAAATTACCCTGTAAAATAGCCACTAGAGATGTAGCATCTGACAAAGTCTGGTTCGTTGCCACGTGGCAAGACTCTAATCTCTCGATTCTAGCTCTAATTTTGCCCATTGATGGTAGGAGAGATACTCAGGAGATGTGGCGAAACACATATTGGGGTGTTCTTTGTCAGTAACACATAACAGGAACTGAGGATCCATGTCTAAAATACAATGTGAGAGAAAAATAACAAAAAAATGACTACCCAAAGGTTTGACTGGTGATAGAATTAGTGCATGGAAAGTGTTAAAATACCACCATTTGAAATACCCTAGGGTGTCTACATTTCAAAAATATATGGTTTGAAGGGGGTAAATTACATTGGCCGGCTTAAAAAATTTCCCAAATAGGACATGGGTACATGATGATCAGCTGTGAAAATTACAAGTTTGCACGCCCTCTAAATAAGGTCTTTTAGCCCCCAGAGAACCCGACACACTTATACATGGGTGGTATCACTGTACTCAGGAGACGTTGCTGAACACATATTAGGGTGTTCTTTGGCAGTAACCCTTAAAGTTCTCAGTACATGCATTCTTAAATTGCCATGTGTGTCAAAAAAATCACCAATTTTTTTTTTTTTTCTAATTTGGCATAGATTGGTGGTAAAATTGTTGCATGAAAAGAGCCAAATACCACAAGTTATATACCTTAGGTTGTCTTTTTTTTTTTTTTTAATATATATACATGTGAAGGGTTATTAAGGAATTCTGACAGATATCAGTGTTACATTGTAACGGTCGTTAATTTTTAAGAAAAAAAATGGTTTGGAAATAGCAAAGTGCTACTTGTACTTATTGCCCTACAACTTGCAAAAAAAAGCTAAGAACATTTTAACATTGGGTATTTCTAAACTCAGGATAAAATTTAGAAACGGGTGTTTTGGCGGTTGTAGATGTGTAACAAATTTTGGTAGTCAAAATTAGTTACTTTTTTTATATTTTCATCATATTTTATTAAAATATTTATAGTAAATGATAGGATATTATGAAAATAATGGTCTCTTTAAAGAGACCATTTAATGGCGAGAAAAACAGTATATAATATGTGTGGGTACAGTACATGTGTAAGAGGAAAATTACAGCTAAACACAAACACTGCAGAAATGTAAAAAGAGCCCTGGTCCTTAAAGGGACACTGTAGGCACCCAGACCACTTCTGCCCATTGGAGTGGTCTGGGTGCCAACTCCCACTACCCTAAACTCTACAAGTGTAATTATTGCAGTTTTTTATAAACTGCAATAATTACCTTGCAGGGTTAACTTCTCCTCTAGTGGCTGTCTACTAGACAGCCACTGGAGGGCTCTTCCGTGTCTATAGCACAGGTTTTCTGTGCTAGAGAGTGTCGCTGGACAACCTCACGCTGTGTGAGGACCTCCTGCGTCACTCAATTTCCCATAGGAAAGCATTGAATAAAAAAAAAAAGCCAGCTTGATAAGAGAGCTCTCTGCAGATCCCTGCCATTGGATGCAAGTGGACTGCCTGAGTTGCCAGGCAGGTCCCAGAGGGCGATCTGCAATTAGGGAAAGGAGGTAAACCGGAGAGAGGGCTAAAACATTTGTGTGTGCTATGCCACATGCCATAATGGTGTTAATGGGTTAAATGAACATGCATTAGTAGACAATTTTTTTTAACCCCTTCAGGACGGAGTCAATAGTACACGTGTTGATCAAAACACAATGTAAACAAAAACTGGAATTTGCGCTATATGTCTGTTCAACCGTAATTCCTCTCTTTCATATTAAGTGCACCTGCACTTATTATATATCATTTTGTTCAGTAGAAACTGGGCTGTAATTTCTCATGAACTATTCATATTTGAAACAGTTTTTTTTTTTAATTTTCTTCATAATAAATTAAGAAATAAAGATTTTTTTAAAAAAAATACATTTTAGTTCCACCTGACATTTTAGCTGTAAATGTCATAATACTGTTAGCTTTAACT